TTGGGTTTTTGTTTTTTTTTTTCTCCTCGGGAAACAGCCAATTTCTGTGGTTCTGCGACACCCAAGTACCCTGCGGGATGAGCCCAGCCCTGCAGAGGGACCTGGATGCCCAAGTCCCAGGGACACCAGCTGTAATTAGATGTTTAGATCTAGGCCAGGGGCTCAAGGGCCATCTGGCACCTGAATTATTCATACACTTTTATCTAAGCACAGGCAGAGCAGAGCACAGAGCTCCTTCTCCAGCCTGGGCCCAGGGGAAGATTCCTGCTTCTGCCAGATCGTTTTTCATGGCCTGACAAACGTGATCCTCTCCAGAGCTCCTTCCCAGTGCTGCGGTGCCTTTTCCCAGTGCCAATCCTGCTCCAAAGCACACCAGCGCTGCCAAACAGAGATCCACGCAGATCCACAGAGATCCACATCAGCAGCAGCTGGTGCGGAGGTGGAAAAATCCAGGAGGACAAGTTTCCCCTTGGAAGGAGCAGTTCAGGAGGAGTGAAATCAGATTAAGTGTCTATCAGGAGGGCCCGTTCCTGTGGTGATGTGGCCCAGTGCTCCCCCCCAAGGTGTCTTTTACCCTGTGACTCATCTGCTGAGGAATTTTAATCCCTGTCTTTCTCTCCCAACCCCGGGCACCATTGGGAAGAGAGGATCTTGGAGACAGAAGTCTCTATCATTTGTTGTTAACCTGATGCATTTCTTCTTCAGCCATGGATGGAGCTGTGCCAGGTTTTACCAGATGTAACTAAAAAATTTCAGATGAAGCTGAAATATAGCACCTTATGGCTTTCTCTCACCTTATTGAGTGATTCCTCAGCTCCTCTGAGCAACCTGGGCTAGTGGAAGGTGCCCCTCCCCACAGCAGGGGTGGAAGATGAGCTTTAAGGCCCCCCCAACCCAAACCAGTCTGTGGTTCCTTAATCTTTTAGGCACAATCGGAGATGCAGGAAGGAGCTGGAGGGGGAGGATCTCTGCATGGGATGTGGGGGCATCTGATCCATACTGCAGCGATGCTTTCTTCTTGTACACTGGGATATTCTGCTCCCTAAAACATGCTGGCTGCTGCTTCTCATTCCTCAGTCAACTCCAACCCGGCCTCCAAAACCCTTTTTTGCAGTTCTGAAAGGGAAGTATTGCTGTCAAGCAGTACAACCTTGACAGAATAACAACGTTTCCAGAGGGAAAGCAGAATGCCTGAGCTTTATCCTTCAGCTGTGTCTCTGTGGGAAGCAGCTGGATCCAGCTGGGAGCAGCAGCTGGGACAAGCCCTGTGACAGATCCATGGATCAGTCGTGGCTCCTCCTGCACACGTCTCTGTGTCACTTCACCTGATCACATCCACCCAACTGCATCTGTGTCCCTCAGCTTCCCCATGATGATCCACACACACCGCGCTCCCGAGCCACCACAGCTCTGGCTCTGCTGGGTTCAGGTTGTTCCACAGAAGAGTCTCAGTTTCAGGAGCTTGGTGTGTGTTCCAAACACAATTCCTGTCACTCCAAGGTCTGTATTTAAATATCATGGAGCATCCAGTTCTGCTTCCCCCAACATTATAGAAGGATTTGGAGCTCTTGGAGTGAGCCCAGAGCAGGCCAGGAAGTTGTTGAAAGACCTGGAGCATCTCCACCATGGAGACAGTCTGGGAGAGCTGGGAATGCTCAGCCTGGAGAAGAGAAGGCTCTGGGGAGACCTTAGAGCACCTTCTAGGGACTAAAGGTGCTTGTCACAAGTCCCTCTCCAGCTCCAGGAGAGCTGGAGAGGGACTGGGGACAAGGGACTGGTAGGACAGGATAAGAGGGAATGGCTTCCCACTGCCAAGGGCAGGGTTAGGTGGGATATTGGGAAGGAATTGTTCCCTATGAGGGTGGTGAGGCCCTGGCACAGGGTGCACAGAGAAGCTGTGGCTGTCTCATCCATCCCTGGCAGTGTCCAAGGCCAGGTTGGACAGGACTTGGAACACCCTGGGTTAGTGGAAGGTGTCCCTGCCTATGGTAGGGGGTGGCCCTGGATGGGCTTGAAGGTCCTTTCCAAACCAGTCTGGGATCCTGTGATCCACTTGCAGCCAGTTGCTCGTGGGTTTCCCCAGGCCTCAGGACTGGGGCTGGTCCTGTTTAATCTCTTTATCCACAATCTGGATAAGGGGGTCAAGGGCACCCTTTTCAGTGCACAGACAACACCAAGCTGAGTTGATCTGTGGATCTCCTGGAGGGCAGGAAGGTTCTGCAGAGGGATCTGAACAGGTTGGATCCATGGGCTGAGTGTCAATGAGGCCAAGTGCCAGGTCCTGCCCTTGGAACACTCCAGGCCAGGGCAGAGTGGCTGGAAAGCTGGAAAAGAACCTGGGGGTGCTGGTGACATTTACCCACCACTGAAACCCTGCCACGACTTCAGGAGCCCCTGTCCCCAGGCGATGACAGGGCAGGGACAGCCACAGGCTCTGCTAAAACAATCCCATTCCATCCTCCCTGTGCTGGATGAACTCCTGGGAGCCATCAGATTTCCATGGGGTGACACAGAGATAGGGCACTGCACCCAGTGAGGGAACATTGTACCTCCTGCTCTCCTGATCTCCAACCACTTGGGCTGGGATTGTCAAACGTGGTCCAGAGGAGCTGGAGCATCACAGTTTTCCATGGAATCCTTCCCATTCCAGAGCAGCTCCAGGGAATTCCTCCTCAGGATCTGCTGCATTTCCATGTGTTTAGATGGCAGACAACAAGAACGACTGGATAATTCTCCAGTTAGCCCTGGGAAATCAAAATAGCAATGAGGAGGGTGAAATTGAGAGCTGGGAGGATCAAACTGGGGTTTGGTGGGGTGAAATTGGAGTTTAGAAGGTGAAACTAAGAGCTCAGAAAGTGAAATTGGGGATTGGGGGGGTCAAACTAGGGTTTAGTGGGGTGAAATTGGGGTTTATAAGGTGAAACTAAGAATTTGGAGAGTGAAATTTGGGATTGGGGGGGTCAAACTAGGGTTTAGTGGGGTGAAATTGGGGTTTAGAAGGTGAAACTAAGAATTTGGAGAGTGAAATTTGGGATTGGGGGGGTCAAACTAGGGTTTAGTGGGGTGAAATTGGGGTTTAGAAGGTGAAATGAAGAGTTTGGAGAGTGAAATTGGGGATTGGGGGCAAAACTGGGGGTTTGCGGAATGGTATTGAAGTTTGGAGGGTGAAATTGGAGCTTGAGAGGATAAAGCTGCGGTTTGGTGGGGTGAAATTGGAATTTAGAAGTTAAATTGCAGTTGTGGTGGTGAAATTGGAGTTTGGAGGGTGAAAATAGGGTTTGATGGGATCAAAGTGGAGTATTATGGGGCGAAGTTAGGGTTTGTGGGTTGAAATTAGGGTTTGTTGGCACAAAATTAATGTGAAGGGGGATGAAAATAAGGGTTTAGGATAAATATCAGGATCTGGAGGGGTGAAATTCATGCTTGGGGGAAGAAATGAGGATTTGGGATGTAGGAATTAGGGTTTGAGAGAATGAAATGAGGATTTGGTGGGTGACATTAGGTTACAGGGGACAAAATTAGGATTTAGGGGGTGAAATGAGTGGTTGGAGTATGAAATTGGGGTTTGAAGGATGGAATAGGGGGGTGATATTAGGGTTTGGAGAGATGATATTGCGGTTGGGGTGTGAAATCGGAGTTTAGGCAGGACAATTAAAGTTTGGGGGATGAATTTCAGGTTTGGGTGGAGAAATGAGGGTTTGGAGGGGCTGACACGAAGGTTTAGAGTGTGAAATTGGGGGTTGGATGAATCCAGCTTGGTTGTGGAATTGGAAGGTTGAGGGAGAAATTTGCTTGGCTGCTTAAATTACGGTTTTATTGGGAAAAATTGGTGTTTGGGGGGATGATCTATGGGATTGTAGGATGCAGGGGCAGCAGTTCCAGCAGGATTGAGGGACCCAGCCCTGCCCCAGCTTTCTCTTCCTTTGAACCTTTTTTTTATCGACATTTCCCACAGGCAGAGCAGAGCAGGAGAAAGAGGAGGAAGAGCCCAGGGTCCCAGGCGGCAGCGGGATCCTCACAAAATACAGGGATTATGGAGGGATCCTCAGAAAACACAGGGATTATGGAAGGATCCTCAGAAAACACAGGGATTATGGAAGGATCCTCAGAAAACACAGGGATTATGGAGGGATCCTCACAAAACCCAGGGATCAGAGGCGCTCCTGCTCCATGGGAGCTGCGATTCCCCCTCAGACCTAACCCAAACTCTTCCTCATCTCCGAGAGCCTCCGAGCTCCAACTCCCCAGGGAAACGTGGTGAGAGCAAGAATGTACCAGGATAACCACTGCGATATGAAGCTTTAAACGGGAAATATCTCAAAAAGCGGTTTGCTGGCCCGTGTTCTCAGGCAGTCCCTGCAGGTCCGCAGAGCTCCAGAGCCGGCAGAGCAGCGCGGGGAGCCGCAGCCGCCGGGAGCGCCGCCCCGCACTCCCTCATGCGGACTGCACAAGCGAACAGGGAGAGCGTGAGACAGGCACTGAATGCAGCCGAGCTCCCTCCGCTCGCCCCGCGGTGGGCTCAGCCCAGCCCGGTGGGCGCACTGCTGGGCTGAGGGCAGACACACGGACCACAGCCGCAGCTCCGCTCCCCAGCACCGCCCGCCGCGCTCTGAGCCCTCAGGCGCCGCCGCACCGCGAGCTCTGCCCGGGGACCGCCCCCCTCCCCGCGGCGACCAATCGGAGACAGAACAAGCCTGAGTGATTTTTGCCCTAGCCAATCAGCACTCTGCCTGTCTGCACCCAATCAAACGCCTGGGGACGTTTTCTCGCCCAATGGTAAACCAGAAACAGAGTTGGAGGGGCAGGGCGCGCTCCTTCATGAGCGGCGTATGGATCAGCCAATCAGATCAGTGAGATGGGTTGATAAGTGACCAATGAGAAAAGGGAGCGGGGACAGAGCAACTCGCGAGATTTTGAGGGGTGCGATGGGAACTCACATCTAAGCGAGAGAGCCAATGGCAAAGGGTGGGGCGGGACCGCAGAACGATTATTGTAACTGACAGCCAGGAGAGCCAATCAGCAGGCAGAGCTAAGTTCGTCCCTCTGTTCAATGGGCAGCGAAAATCCTCCCATGGTTGAACAGCCACGATTGACAGGTAGCACCCTCCAATGAGATCGCCGCGCCCTTTCTAACTGCCCAATGAGCGAGCGGGGCTGGGAGGCGCGCGACGGCGGCAATTCCCGCCCCCCCCGCGGGAGCACGGGGCTGGCTGCCAGACCGACAGCGCGGCGGGCCAATGGGAACGCGCAGCGCCAGGAGGTGGGCGGAGCACCCCCGCAGCGGCGGCCAATGGGCGAGGGCACCGCCCCGGTCAGCCAATGGGCGCGGGGAGGGCGGCGCGCGGTGCCGGCGCGGCTCCCAAGATGGCGGCGGGTGCGTGAGCGGGGCGGTCGGGGAGGCCCGGCGGGAGCGCGGCCGCCGCCGCCATGAAGGGCAAGGAGCGCTCGCCCGCCAAGGCCAAGCGCTCCCGGGGCGGCGAGGACTCGGCGTCCTCCTCCTCCTCCTCGCGCGGCAGCAAGAAGCCGAGCGGCTCGTCCGGCGGAGGCGGCGGCTCCAACGGCGGGAAAGCGGCGGCGGCGTCCGGCGAGAGCAACAGCGGGAGCGGCCGGCGCGGCGCCCACGCGGACAAGGGCGGCCGCGCCGGCAGCCGCGAGTACGAGACCGGTTCGGCGGCGGCCGCGGGCGGCGGGGGCCGGCACGGCTACAGCGGTAAAACCGCGGAGGCGTCGCGAAGCAGCAGCAGCCGCGGCGGCGAATCGCGAGCGGCCGCCGCCTCCTCCTCGTCCTCCTCGTCGGAGCCGGGCGGCGGCGAGTACAAGACGCTGAAGATCAGCGAGCTGGGCTCGGCGCTGAGCGACGAAGCGGTGGAGGACGGGCTGTTCCACGAGTTCAAACGCTTCGGCGACGTGAGCGTCAAGATCAGCCGGCTCCCGCCCGGCGCCGGCGCCGCCGACGAGCGCGTGGCCTTCGTCAACTTCCGCCGGCCCGAGGACGCGCGGGCCGCCAAGCACGCCCGCGGCCGCCTCGTGCTCTACGACCGCCCGCTGAAGATCGAGGCCGTCTATGTCGGCGGAGGCAGCGGCCGCCGGCGCAGCAGCCGCTCCCCGGCGCTGCTGGACAAGGAGTCTCCCTACGGCGCGGCGGCGGTCGGGGCGGTGGCGGCCGCCGTGCGGCACCCGCCGGCCGGGGCCGCGCAGCGGGCGCTGTCCCCCGCAGGCAGCGGCGGAGCTTTGGGCTACCGGGACTACCGGCTGCAGCAGCTCGCCCTGGGCCGCCTGCCGCCGCCGCCGCTGCCGAGGGAGCTGGAGAGGGAGCGGGACTACGGCGGCTTCTACGAGGCGCGGGTGCGGCCGGCCTACGGGCTGGAGCGCGTGGCCGGCGTGGCGGCGGCCGGCGGATTCCGCGGAGGAGGAGGAGGAGGTGCCGGAGCGGCCGCCGAGGAGGAGATCAGCCCTGAGGATGACCAGAGAGCCAACCGCACGCTGTTCCTGGGCAACCTGGACATCACCGTGAGCGAGTCGGACTTGCGGCGAGCGTTTGACCGTTTCGGGGTCATCACTGAGGTGGACATCAAGAGGCCGGGGCGTGGGCAGACCAGCACCTATGGGTTTCTTAAGTTTGAGAATCTGGACATGGCACACCGGGCCAAGTTGGCCATGTCGGGGAAGGTGCTGCTGCGCAATCCCATCAAGATCGGGTACGGGAAAGCCACCCCGACCACCCGGCTCTGGGTGGGCGGCCTCGGGCCCTGGGTGCCCCTGGCTGCCCTGGCCAGGGAGTTTGATCGGTTTGGCACCATCCGCACGATCGATTACCGCAAAGGGGATTCCTGGGCCTATATCCAGTACGAGAGCCTGGATGCGGCGCAGGCAGCCTGCACCCACATGCGGGGGTTTCCCCTGGGGGGGCCGGATCGCCGGCTCCGCGTGGACTTTGCGGACACGGAGCATCGGTACCAGCAGCCCTACCTGCAGCCCCTGCCCTTGCCGCCCCCGGCTCATTACGAGCTTGTGGCGGAGGCGGCTGCTTTTGGGGCTCACCGGGGAGCCCCCCCCGACCCTCTGCGGGGGGCCCGGGACAGGACGCCACCTTTGCTCTATAGAGACCGTGACAGAGACCTTTATCCTGAGACAGAGTGGGTGCCCCCGCCGCCCCCTGTGCGGGACCGGAGTAATAGGGCAGCTGCTTATGACCCACTGGAAAGCCTGGAGCGCCGCCGGGATGGGTGGTCCTTGGAGCGGGACCGCGGGGAGAGGGAGCTGGGCAGTAGCAGTAGGGATCAGCCTAGGAAACGGAGACTGGCAGAGGATGGAGGCCGGCACTTGGACCGTTCCCCTGACAGCGAGCGCTCCTCTTCCTCCCGAAAGCGCCACTGCTTGGCCACAACCTCTCCCCCGGACCGCAGCCCCGAGCTCCTCGGAGGCCGGGAGCGTTACAGTAGTGACCCTGAGCGCTCGTCCCGCTTGCTCCTCTTGGAGCGACCTTCCCCTATCCGGGAGTCCCGCCGGGGCAGCCTGGAGCGGGGGCAGAACGAAAAGCGCGACCGCAAGAACTCCGCAGAGCGGGAGCGCAAGCACCGCGCCGCCGCTGCCGCCCAGGAGTGCAAAAGTCCGGCCAAAAAGGACGAGCGGGCGGCGGAGGGAGGTGGTGGAGGCTCCCGGCTCAAACCTCCTCCCCAAAAACAGCAGCAGGATGGAGCAGCGCAGGCCGGGGCAGCGCCCAAACTGTGCCTGGCTTGGCAGGGGATGCTCCTGCTGAAGAACAGCAACTTCCCGTCCAACATGCACCTGCTCCAGGGGGACCTCGGAGTCGCCAGCAGCCTCCTCGTGGAGGGAGCGACTGGGGGGAAAGTGGCTCAGCTCAAGATCACCCAACGTCTCCGTCTGGACCAGCCCAAGTTGGATGAGGTCAACCGGCGCATCAAGGTGGCGGGTCCCAATGGATACGCCATCCTTCTGGCCGTGCCCGGCGCCTCAGACAACCGCTCCGCAGCCGGGGCTGCCGAGGCCGCCACCACCTCCACACAGAGGCCGCTCAGGAATCTGGTGTCCTACCTAAAGCAAAAGCAGGCTGCTGGGGTGATCAGCCTCCCTGTGGGGGGGAACAAAGACAAGGAGAACAGCGGGGTCCTGCACGCCTTTCCACCCTGCGACTTCTCCCAGCAGTTCCTGGACTCCACAGCCAAGGCGCTGGCCAAATCAGAGGACGACTATCTGGTCATGATCATTGTCCGTGGGGCGTCCTAAGGCCCTCGTGTTCTGTTCCCAACCCTGCCTACTCCTCCATGCAGCCCCTCCAGCGTGTGCCAGGTGCTATGGGATACAGCCTTAGCCAGCCCTGTCGTTATTTTAAATAGATCTTTGTTTGTAGGTGACTTTCCCGGGCCGATTTTCTGTTACTACATTTTTCTATAAAGATAGAAGCCAGAGAGGTTGGTTAGGAGTAGCGTGAATAGGATATTTTGAGAATTCCCTATCAGTGGGGACAGCAGGGAGGCTCAGCCTGCTTTGATTTACAGAAAATAGAAAAATAATAAAAACTGGGGTGGGGGGGAGGGGGGGAAAGAAAAACTCCTGTCTTCTTAATTTAGATTCATGTCCTTTTTTCATTTCATGTATTTTAAAGCAAGTCCCAAGAGCTCGTCCTCGAGAGAGCTCCAAACCGAACAGACCAGATTTAAAGCACTCAGTGGAAATGGAAATCCATACTTTAATAACAGACTGGTGTCACCTCCTCTTTTGAGTCCTTGAAATTCCGTGTGGGCCTCAGGCCAGCGGCCCCTTGGCCCGTGGGATCCCTTCCCTCGGGAGCCGCAGTGGTTTCCCCGTTGAGTCGCGTGGCTCAGGTCAACGTTTTTCAGGTGAGCAGCAGCTGCTCTCGGGTGCACAGCAGAACACTGAATTCCTTTTTGGAAAGGGATTCCTTTTTCATCCCCCCCCCCCCCCCCCAGGTGCATGCACTGAAACTGGGCTTTTTAACAGGTGTATTTCCCCGATTTCCCAGTGTATCCCATATGTGCACTTTGGGTTTGTAGCAGTGACTAGGTTTGGTGAAGAGCTGAGGACTTTGTTGCAAACCAGGAATGTCTTGTGCTCACTCTGGTGTGCAGGAAACAAGGAGGTGCTTTAAGGAGAACTTGAGTTATATTGTGGAGTTTTGGTTTTACTGCCTTTTTTTTTGTTTTGTTTTGTTTTCCAAGAGTTGCAGGTTCAGTGGGGTTTGGTTCCACAATGCAAACTGAGCAAGTAAGTGCTTCTCTCCAGAGATGCTTTTCATTCTGTGATAATTTAATTACATAAAAGTTCTCATTAACATTTTACCTCTTTGTTAATAGCAAGGAACTGCTGTCTGCTAGGGACTTTCCAGGTACAGTGTGCAGTGGGCATTACATGAGGTTTATCGTGGGCACCTGGAGTAAAGTGGTTTTAGCATCCTGGAGAAATATTACAAATACTCCAAGATGCTGAGGTTTGAGCTCTTGTTCTTGTGATTCAAGGATGAAACAGTTTTCAGGTTGTTTTGGTTTTTTTTTTTTTCCAAAGAACATAAGTTAATTTTTTCATATTTTTCCCCAATCATTGGGCACTTTTCTCCAGCTGGCTCAGCCACCTTTGGTAATTCAGGCATTTAGGAGGGGAGAAGAGGTCTCAATCCCTGATGTGATCTTAATTCCATGATACTCTGTTTAACAACTAAAAGGATGGTGCAGCAGCTTCTAAATTGAGGTGTAAATCTCACTGTATCTCTTTACAGGCCCTAAAATTGTAATCTTGCACTTAAACCCAGAATGTAATCTTGCACTTAGCCATGTTTTCAGGGATTTGGGCAACAGAGAAGTGACACAGCATCACTTGGTCCATGCTCCAATAGATTCCTTGGATAATTGATACAGGCATGAGTTGATTTCTGTTACAACTTGCATGGCAAAAATCAAATTAAAAGTGTGGAATGGGATACGAATAGGAGATGAAGGAGGAAATGTGTTGAATGTATTTTATGGGTGTAACTGAACTTGCTTGAGTTTCTGTCACAAAAGTAGGAATTTTTGTTACTGCACCACTTGTCATAGAGGGGCTGTGGTTTAAGAGGGCTTTGATTCCTCTGTCTGCCCAGAATGAGTAGACCCAGCATCCCAAACATCGTGGTGAACTGAGAATTCCAAGTGGCAACATCTCTTAAACACAGATTTTGTTTTTTATAGCTACTTTTCTTTCTAAATGAGAAGGTGAAAGCCTCATTTAATGCTCTTAAGTTTGAGAGTAAAATCCAGGATTTCTGGGTTGCCCTTCAATGTGAATGTAAGAGATGGCAGAATTCAGCTGTTCAGCTTACTATTAACAACGAGAATTTTTGGGAATGACACCAGAAATGCAAATCACTGTGTTTAAGAAGATACAGCGTGTTTACCACTTATTGCAAAGAATGTTTTAATTGGAGCAGGTGCCTGTTGGGTGTCAGTAGGTGATCAATGCTGCAAGTGCTGCTTTCATTCAGAGGGAGTTCTCTGGGAGATTTCTGTCATCTGACAGAAATCACTTGAAAGAGTTTTCTGGGAAAGAGACTTAAACAGCTGGGAATTTAAATCTGCCTAAAACTGGGGGGAAAAAAAGCACTAAAGTTTGTGTTGGACACTGAGAGCAGCGTTTATTCTGCTGATCCACAGCAGGCACCTGCATAAAAACCCATAAAACTTGGGGTCAACACAGCTTGTCAAAGCCAGCTTGGTTTGGGAGCCTTTTGGGAAGAGCATGTTAGGTGCCCTTCCATTTTTCCTTGGGAAATCACCCTGGAATTCCCTTGGTCCCACCTGCCATTGGCTGTGAAACTGTGCTGTGCTGTGCTGGAGGGCAAGAAGGAACAGGCGAGGCCGTGTTTGACTCCAGGTTTTCTGGTTCCTTATTTCATGGAGCACCTGCTTCTTTGAATCTGGTTTATTTGTGGTTGCTGCTCTGTTTTGTAAGCAAGGATTTTAACACCCTTTGAGGGTTCTTGTGGCAAAACTTGGAAAGCTTTTTTTTACTGGCACTGAATTGCTGTGCTGCCATCCCGGCCGGTGCGGCTGGGCGGGCTGTGCTTTCCTCCTTGGTCTGAGGTGTTCCCCGTTGGAGTAACTGCCCACTGAAGTTGGCTTAGCCAGGGCTCAAGGTTTAGAAGCCCGTGGGTGATACCACTGTGTGTAGAGCAAACCAGATGTAGCAGCTGTTGGCTCTCTCCTTGTGTCTGGCATTACATTGCTGTGGCGAGAGCTCAGTATTCCCTCCCGACCTTGTGTGCAGCTGATGTTCTTCTATTTCATTCGTGTGTTGAATTAGCCTGGAGAAAGGATGTCCTTTTCCTGAATCATTTCATCCTTGTGCTTTATGCTTTGGGGAAAGAACCTCAAATGACTCGTAGTTTTGTTTGAGATTTTAGTTTGTTGTTTATTTCTTTCAATTGGAAACTTTGCGCAACTTCCTTGGCCCCTGGCCAGTGGCTCTGTTTGCCATGGGAACACCGGGGTTATCCTCAATCCAGAGGTTTTAGGGGCACAAATATCAACAGAACCTTGTCAGCCTCCCAGAGAGAAAAAGGCATTATTGCCAAGCAAAGAAACCTTGCCCTCTCTCTGTTTCATTTCCTACAAGGATGTTAAAGATGGAATATTTTCGTGACAACTTTCTTGGCCTCTGTGGAGAGCCAAGTTTTATGAAAACGAGTTTTAATTTCTTGTGTGGGTTTGGGAACCCTCTGGTTGATGGTAACTGAGGTGAAAGGCCTGAGGTATTAATGGGGAGGAGAAGTGAATCAAAATTGTGAAGACAAGTTCAAAAACTCTGAGGACTCAGGGAAAAATGCCTTGGAAAATGATAGTTCCTGGCTCTAAGCAAAACAGTGTTGAGGGCAGCGCTCCTGGGGAGTGCTGTGTGCACAGAGGGGAGGAAATGGTTGCCGTGTGGCTCTAGAGCTTTTGGGGTTCTTTCCCCTTTGTCCCCCTGTTTATTTCTTTATAGCACTGAAGGACAGATATTCCAATGATTGATAGACTGAACAATGAGGTGATTTTTGTATCAGGCTTAAAGCAGACCGGGTGGTGCAGAGAATGGTTCATTGAATATTCATCTTCCCGCAGTTCCGATTGTGTGAAACCGATGGCAAGGAGATATGACTTGAATAGTAACAATTTTAAATTATATTGGGTGTGTCTTTGATTTGACCTTTTAATATTGGCATTGTCTGCTGTTAGACCTGCGCAGCAGAATGAGAGCAAAAGAGCTGTGTAACACTACATTTCATGGTTTTGTTGATAAGTTGCCTTCAGGAAACACCCAGTGAGGAAAGTCAACCGAATTAGCAAGAATTAGGTTGGTTTTTCTCCTGGTTAATGGTTTTGATGTGCCCCAACAAATGTTACTGCAAGTTGAATAATCACCAATACTGTAAGCCTAGTTTTATCCTGGTCCAAAAAGAAGCCCTGCACTACTTGTTTTGCATCTATCCCTAGAAGGCAACTTCATTCCGAGGTTTCATGCCCACGGGTGGTATTGGTGCTTTTTGAAGTCCAAGTAGAATATTCAGAAAGGCCTCGTAGCTCTTTATGTTCATCTGTATAATGTAGGGAGGGGAAAAACCCAGATCTGGTGTACACATTTGTATTGAAATAACGTTTTTTTTTCCTCCTGCAAGCAAAACTGGTGGACTGCAGAAGACAAGCGCATGGGATACCAAGCTCTAATGGACCTTTGGGAAGAGAAGCTGTGGCTTATGTGGAATTTACATGGGCCTCCTGGTGGAAGAAAGCTTATCTGTTTAGTATTTGTGCATTTTACTAAAATGGCAGCTTTAAAAAAAAAAAAAAAGTTGTGTATCTGCTATTGTGATGCCAATGCCCGTGTTTTAAGTGGAAAAAAAAATGACCTCTTTGCTTTGTGCTGTGTACACAAGATTGCTGGAAAAGTAAAGGAATACCCTTTTTATAGCTCACACAGCTTAAAAGTAGCTGTCACTCAAACATGCGCTCACAGTTGAGCTGATTTTGTTTCATTCTAAATAAATTGTTTCTTTTGAGGAAAATGTTTTTTCTGCCTGGAAGTGAATTGACGACAAACGTTTGGCCCCTGTGTTGGCAGCGGAGGGGTTCCTGCTGCTGCTGCCCAATTGAGCTGATAGTTGTGGGTCTTGAGCAAGAAGCAGGGAGAGCACCGACACTTTTGCGTTGATCGACCTGTGGTACCAGTCAGAAGAATTGTGTGATGGCCTTGCTGTGGCCCCCGTGTTTGCAGTGAAAAAGGGGTCACTTGCTGCGTTTCTCCTCAGCGGGACGGGGCAGCGGTGCTGCTGCTGGCACGCAAGAAGCAGGGAAGCACCACCCTGCGCCTCGGAACGGTGGCCAAGTCTGGGGCTTCGCTGGTTGGAAGAGCTGGAGTTCCTGAATTTTAAGTTTCTGATTTATTTTGTTCACCCAACATGTTTGCCTTTAGTTTTGATTCTTGTTTTTTTTTTTTAATTTTGAAGAAAAAAAGTTTTGAAATTGCTTTGAATCTTGCACGTAAAATCTTTGCACCAAAATTGCCAAAAGAAAAAGAGAAATGAGTCCTTAAAAGTGTTTAAATGCTGTTAATAAAGCCTTTCCTGCCGTACGCGAGGCGCTCCTCCATCTCCAGGGGCTTTTCAGCAGTTGTGGGTTTAGTGCTGAATGGATGAAGAGTTCCTGAGAGCTGGAGGCGGTAATTTAAACCTTTGCGTGGTGTCTCAGTGCCTTATTTTGACCGGTTTTGAAGCCATTGGTTCCACACGCCTCGGATGTGCATGTGCCCTGCTCGCGTCCCGGCCCCGCCGCGCGCTCCGTGCAGTCGCTCCCGGTGTAGTGCAGACGGGGAGAGGAACAGCCGGAGGCGGCCCGAAAACATTGTGTGCTGTAGTTCTCCTGTCCCGGGGGCTCCTGAGCTTTGGAAAGCTGTTCCCGTGCAGGAGCACAACTCCGTGTTTGCTGCAGGAGACTTCGGGGCGCGCCTGAGGACCGCGGCCGTCGAGAGGAAGCTGCCACTGCTGCGTCGTCGGCTTCAGGAGCTGCCGTGCTGTGCTCGTGGTAGAATTCCTGTGACGTGCCATGAAGACACTTTGAACGCTTGCCCTGTTTGCCTTGACATACTTTTAACTTCCATGGATAACCCCCTGCAGCCGGGCAGGATCTTTGCTAGGCTGCAGATGCCTCTCAGCCGACGGATGCTGTGGTTGTGCTCTGCAAGGTGTCTGTTCCCGGGGCAAAGCGCTGTGTAAATCCCTAAAACAGGTAAGGGGCTGGAAGAGGTTGGACTGAGTTGTAATGTAAAAGAGGATTGTTGTTACCTTTTGTTGTCTTGATTCTGCAGTTTATTAATGCTTATTAATTGTGGTTTCTTCAGTCACCGTGCTGCTCCACCCGCTCGGGAATGGGGGCGAAGGAGCCGACTCTTGGATGCGCTCCCCTCTTTGTTGGGGAGTCCTGTTAAGCAACAGGGCTGTGCACATAAAGCTACGTGTTCTCAGCTTGGCAAGCTGGAGCTGTTAGTTTGACTTCATGAACTGCTTGAATTAACACTGCTTTAACCCAGAATAGTGTTTATAATTTGTACGTGTTGATAAGGAAAGCCAAGCCAATGATTTGGCAAATTGTCTGTGTTTGTGGGATGCTGGTGTAATAATTTAAATGAAGCTTTTTGTTGTAAATGGGAGCAATTGTAGCTATTGCTGGTTATGAGGGAAGGGAATTGGAAAGGAGAGACTCAGGAGATGCCTTTTCTTCTAGAAGTTGGTGTTTGTAGTTAAAATTCCGATTTTTGAAATGTATTTCTTGTGCTGTTGAGATACAACCTCTGAATCTCCTTTGAAGTGTTGTACAATAGGTCTGGGGCTGGTAGCAATAATGGGAGATGTGTTTCAGCCCCTTTTCCTGGGGTTGATGCTGCCAGGAGATGGGTGGTCTGTCAGTGTACCCCAAAAAAGGGGATCTTTCTGGCAAGCTGGTCACCTGCTCAGGTGTTTATGTCAGGGCTTGGGCACTATCCCATTTTTTGGGTGTGCTTTTGAAGTGTCAGTGGCTGTTCCAGAAGAGCTCTGCCTCTCTGAGTCAGATTTCACTGTCTGTTTCGCTGGGAGATGGTTCCCTGTCTCCTTTACATCATGCATTTATTCCAGAGACTCGGAGAGGTATCGTGGGATGTGCTGTGGGATGGTTCTCCTACAGTCACTTTGCCATAACGAGCTGTTTTTTGGGTGCTGGGTCTGCCCCTCTGCCTCCTGAAGGGCTTAGAGGGATGCTCCAGTGGCCAGGTAAAGCCAGGCTGTTGTTAAAACCAGTCTCTTGGAAGGGTTTAATGCTCTATATGCATCATATTAATTTGGCTAATGAGACTTCTGGGGAAAGTGGATTTATAACGAGAACCATTTAATTAACTGCACTGCAGCAGAGAGCAATGTGAGCGGATTAGATGGGAGCAGGTTATTTGAATTCACACATTTTTTTAGAACTGTGCTTTTACCAGCTGCAGCTGAATTAATAAGTTTAAAACATCAGATGGCCCAGATTCTGCTCTTGGCCAATAACAAGCTTGTGTTGGCCTCACGCTGCTGGTTTACTATGAAACAGCAAATGCTGTTGGAGGATATGCGCCCACCTCATGTCCTGAGGTCTGGGGCAAAGATTGAAAAGGGTTTGGTCAAACAGGCAGAGCACTGGAAAGGCTCTTGGGCTGCTGGCTTTGTGATTCCCGTTGTGTTTCCTGCGGTTCTTGGCTCAGAGCCTGTGCCTGAGTGTAATTAGAGCTGCCTTGGGAGCTGGGTGAGGTAAACTCCTGTGGCAGAGTAGCTCTGAGGGCCCGGGTCAGTCACTGCTGGGATGGGTTTGACAGGAGCCTCCTGCTCTTCATCCTGTTTGTCCCCGTGCTGCTGGAGGTGCCTGTAGTAGGAGCAGAGGACGTGGACGGTGGCACAGAGGTTGCCTATTCTTTTTCCCCCTTTGTACCCTGCTCCAGGGATGTGTTAATTAAACATTGGGGTGCAGGTGCTGTCAAACATGCTGCCGTTGCTGTGTATTAATGAGTTGCCACCTCCCAGCCCAGCTCCTGTGCCCAGGCTCTTGGGTTTGAGCTCGTGTGTGTTGTCCCAGGCTGGGGATGGGATGTGGTGGGCTCCACAGGCAAGCTGAGCTGAAGATTAACTGTGGCTCACAGCTATTTCATCTCCTTATCTGCCTGCCTTGACCTTCATGCCTCGTTCTGCAATTGCATCTGAAGATTGGGCTGGAGGCTTTTAGCTCTCTTCAGTATTTCCTGTCCCCAGATCCAGTGCTAGGTCAGGCCAAGGTTTAGCAATGCACACAGCCTGACCCAGCCCTGAGCTGGCAGCTTTCCCTGGTGTTCTGCCCTTTGTGCAGGCGAGCTCCTGGATCCTGCAGCCAGCCTCTCCTTTCAGATGCATGTACTGTGTTTCCAGCTGCACAGTTGCACATTTTAGATATGGCTGGGGACACAAATGTGTGTCTGAGGAGACATTATGGGTGTAGAAGGGTTTGAGTGAGGGGAAGCCAGCGAGGTTTCCCAGGGTGGTTTGTTAAGCTGTTTGCCCATGAGGAGGAGATGTCCTTTGGGCCATGGAGTGTTTGCAGCCCCTCTGGCCAAGGGATTGCTTTGGTCATTGCCAGCCTGGGCTGCTCCAGCCCTGACCTGGGCAGAGGTTCAGGGCAGGATGAGGTCCTGAACCACCCGAGCTCCTGTCATTGAGGCTTGTGGGGAGCAGGTGCTGAGAAAAGGGGGTGTTGATGTTTCTCATGCTGCACAGACAAGACTGTGTATGAGGATCAGGAGGGACTCTTCATCAGGAACTGGACTGGCAGGACAAAGGGGAATGGATTCGACTGAAAAAGGGGAAATTTGGGTTTGATATTGGAAGAAATCCTTCCTTGTGAGGATGGGCAGGCCCTGGCACTGAGTGCCCAGAGCAGCTGTGGCTGCCCCACCCCTGGAAGTGTCCAAGGCCAGGTTAGACAGGGCTTGGAGCAACCTGGGATAGTGGAGAGTGTCCCTGCCTGTGGCAGAAAGAGGAACAAGATGAGTTTTAAGGTTCATTCCAACCCAAACCATTCGAGTGTTCTGTGATTCTTGTGTTTCTCCTGTGCCAGCCCAGCTCTCCCCGTGGCACTAAGGCACAGCCTGTTCTGAGCTCTCAGGTCCCTGAGTGCCTTTGCTGTTCCCCGTGGCACTCGGAGCTGCATCCCCAGAGCAGCCTGAGGCTGGGAGAGCCCAGCCCCAGATACCCCATACCTGCCACCACCCCTGTGCCAGCCAGGGTGGTGTGACTCCTTCCCAGCTTGTCCAAAGGCTTGGGGGTTGGAGCTCAGTTTATTGGGGTTCTCTTTGTCCCTGGGTGTTGTAAAGACACCCTTTGCCTCTTTCCTCCAGAGTACAGTCCTGGCTCTATCTTGTCCACGTGAGGGATATCTGTAGGGGAAGCTTTGCAAAGCTTGGTGGTGGTTTCAGAGGCAAAGTCTGCTTTGGAAAAGAGACTTTGACCCGTGAATTACTTCTGGAATTGTCCGTGGCCATGAGCAAGAGCTCCCATCCCGTTTGTGGTTTCTGCAGGCTGGAAAGTATTCCCATGAGGATCTCAGCTAAAGCTAAAACTTCTGGGTTTTCAACATCTGCTTTAATTTTTGTTCATTAGAGTCGCTGATAAATTCCCATGGACTTCAGTGAGAACCATTATGGTATCTTTAAAGATTTTTATTATTATTTTCCAAACAACTCCAACATCCTATGAAGGCTTCCAGCTCCTCAGAAGTGAAAACTTTTAAATTCAGGCTCTGGTGAATTGCAGCCTAATAACACCCTTCATCATAAACACAGCTGCAAGACATGTTCCAGGCCAGGGGGAAACCAGCACCAAAAAAAGAGCATTTGTGTTATCAGTGTGGGTCAGGGCGAGTAAACAGCCCCGGCCAGGAGGTGTCTGCCAAGCAGGGGAGGGGAGAACAGCCACGTTTCCTGTTGCTGGAAGGCCCTGGTGTCACATCCTTACCCAGCTATTTTAAATTGCTTTTGGCTTTCTTCATGTGGTTTAAGGTGAACCCAGGAACCTCAGCAGTGTTGGTAGCTGAAGCACCTTGTCTGGGGTGTGGAAAAGCCTCTTGTTCCCCTTTAAAGTGGGAATTCTGGAGATTTCCCCTGTGGTTAATGGGTGTGCTGGGAGCACTGCAGAGATGATTTGCAGCGTTTGGGTTCAGACAGCCCCTGGAAGGGTCAGATCCAGCGATGGGGTTAAACCCAAAATTCTCTCCCCTCAGCAGCTGGGGGGTGTGGGGCTCCCAGCAAACCCAGAGCTGGGGCACGCTGGAGAAACTCCAAAATAACCCCAGCCCTCGCAGGGGATCTCGCTGCGAGATAAACATTGCTCCTTGTTATCTGGGAAACCTGAGGATCAGCTTCCTCTGCGTCCCGTGCCTCCTTTATCTGCTGTTGGCCTCTGAGCAAAGTCCCGGCCTTGGATTTTAGTAGATTATGGTTTTTACCAGGGGCAGAGCCTGACCACAGAGAGCGTGGGGCAGGGAGAGGTGTATTTTGTGTGCTTGGAAATGCCTCAGTCCGTGTTCTAGCAGCTGTATCCTGCCTTTCAGTGGCCCAGAATACAGAACAAGGAAGGGAAACCTGCAGCTGGTAGCCAGGACACTCAGGGGTGTACAATGATTGCATAAATATATTATACATAGAAATATATATATATATTATAGAGGGATATATTATTGTTAATATATTTATTATTTATAAATATGTATAATTAGATAAAATAGATTTATAAATAATAGTTATTATATATGAAATATATATATTATCTATTTATAAATTGTATAAATTATAAATATAAATATAATATATTTATATTCATAAATATATAAATATATATTTATAAATAATATTCTGTATGTGAATATATAATATATAAACATGTATTTATAAATAATATAAATTATAAATATAAATATATGTATAATTTATTTATTATTTATAACTATATATAAAATTATAAAATAGATTTATAAATAATATGTTTAAATAAATAATTACATATAAATCTATAAAAATTTATAAAAATAATATAAAATATAAACAATATGTATAAATAAATAACATAATTGTATATAAATATATAACAATTTATATAAAATAATATAAAATATAAATAATATGTATAAATAAATTATATATAGATATATAAAAATTTATAAAAAATAATATTACATATAAACAATATGCATAAATAAATTAAAGTAATTTATAAATAATGTAAAATCATTCCAGTGGGTATGGGGGGTGCAATGTGCTTCCTGATGTGAGCTCCAATTGCACCGATTTCCATCCCTTTGAGAGACCCAAGCTGAGTCTTAGCAGCTTTTGATCCTGGCATGTGGAACATCCCTTGAAGCTGGTTTAAGAGCCAGCAGGTGCCCACCCCATCAATCCATCCTGCCAAGACGCCTGGCAGGCACTGGGAGCACCAGGCACTGGGAGCGGGTCCTGGAGGCTCCTGCTGCAGGATTCCACCTGGGAGTAACTCTCTGGTAGCGATGGAGAAGCGTTTCCTTCCCGGGAAGGGCTGGCACCCTGCAGGCGGCGCTTCGGGTGGCACAAACCCAGCACTGAGCCTCACCCTGCGGGTCTTGTTGGAGAAACCACTTCCATATTTCCTTCTTGCTTGCTTAATCCTGTGGTGCTAAAATGAATCAGGATTCAGGGTATCAGTCCTCTTGTCTGTCAGTGCTCAGAAAACTAATTATCTAAATGAAGTTGTTACCCTTTTTTTCCCAAAGGCACTCAGGTGTTTTACCAGGTCTGTGTTCTTGGGTTCTTTTGGTCACTCAGATTCCCTCCAGCCAGCTCTGCTTCCCTGCAGGTCGCTGGATCTTTGGAGAATTCTTTAGTGGTTGGTTGCTCTGCACCATGATTTTTAGAAGGTTTTTTAACCAATGAATCCTGCTTAAAGTACTTCCAAATGCGATTTCTCATCAAGATCCAGCTGACAATGGTTTGTTATCCCTTGTGCAGAGGATGAGCTTGGGTAGGAAAATGTTCCCCCGGGTGCCTCTGGGCACAGTGCTGAGGCTGGCATTGCTTTTCCACGGGGTTTGATGTATTGTGAATGAAATAATCTTGGAAAGATCCAGGAGGTTGTTGGTGATTTCTTTCCAGCACAAAGGGTGGAGCTGCTGCCCGTGAGGTACAGGAGGGTTGGAAGGCAGGAGGGATCTAGTTCTCCACTGCCTTCCCAGGAGCAGGAGGGGTGGCTGGGAGGGCACCACCCTTCAACAAAGCATTTTTCATGCTGAGGATCATTTTTAGCCATTGCTGCTGATTCTCATTACTGCACATGAATAAGGGAAGAGTTTCCTTTGAGCAAGGGAAGAATTTTCAGGAATAATTTCCCCATGGAAAGGGTGCTCAGGTCTTGGCAGGGGCTGCCCAGGGAGGTTTGGAGTGCCCATCCCTGGAGGTACCCAGGGAATGCCTGGAGGTGGCACTCAGTGCTCTGGGCTGGGGACAAAGAGGGGATTGGGCACAGCTTGGACTCGACAATGCAGGAGGGCTTTTCCAGCCTTAGAGATTCTGGGATTCTGTGAAGGGAGTAGGGACAAAAGGGATTTTCTAGTCCACCTCAGATCGCAGCTTTTAACCTCATTTGTGTCCCAGCAGCCCTGCTCTTGCATTTCTCCACACTCTTGTCATGTTCTGCACTATGCAAAAACAGCTTTAGGAAGAGATTTGCATGATGACTTCAGTGGGATGGAAAAGCTTTCCTGGGGCAGATGTTCCCATCCTCACTGCTGCTTTTTCTAATGCACATGTTGAATCCTGCAGTAAATGAATGCCTTTGGTTTTCAGAGCTGCCAGGGGAACTGAACCATCTGTTCTGTGCTTGCCTTCCCAGCACCAGGTGTGAGCAGAGAAGTGTTTGACCACCAGCCTGGCCTGCCCAGTGGAAAGACAAAGGTTTGAAGACTCTTCACCCCCTTCCCAGCCCACTGACAGGATGGTGCAGGGCTCCTGGGAGGAGTTTTTCGTTGTGGGAATTGGTTTCCTCAACAATTTTGGATAGACAAGAGGTAATTGTGGCTGGAGAAAGGTGCTTTGCCTGTGCAGGATTATTTTGGGAGTAAAAAAAGGCTGGTGGTGCCCATCCATGGCCGGGGATGTGGGAAATGGGAGCTCCTGGGCTGTTTGCTCCTCTGCAGAAGGAAAGAGGTGGGGACCACAGCTCCAGTTTTGCTAAATAAGGGTAAGGAATTGGTGAGATATTGGTCTGGTGGACAGACAGGGCAGGACTCTCCTTAAGATCCTGCAGGTTTGTAGGGGAGCTTTGCTGGAGCAGATGGGGTGGGAGGTGTGGACACCACATCCTGCCAAGTTGTTTCTTGGTGGCAAAAGAGGTGAAAATATCACAGGGCTTGTGTTGAAAGGACGAAGGTGTTGAGCAGAGGCTTCATTTACAGGGAGAGGGAGAGAGCAGAGCACAGGCAAAGGTGTTGGAATTGTGTAGAGAGGGAGCAGCAGGGTGAGGAGCTGATGGGGTGGCTCTTTCCATCCCCACAGAGCTTTGATCCCACTCTGTTAAAAGCCAAAAGCACAGCTGCTCTTAGGGAGATGCAGGAAAAAACTAAAATCCTAAAATGCCTTCCAGAAAGAAATGCTAAAATCCTAAAGCTTTAGGACTGGAAAACTTGAAGGCGAGGCTCCCACATGGTTCCTGTTACAGCAGCAAACCAAAGCTGCTGGTAGTGTTTGAGTTGGTGAGAGTGAGAAACTTTATTGTTTCATGAGGTGAAAACTCGATTTTTTTTTAAATGAAAGCTTTGTCCCTGCTGCAGAAGGGCTTGACTGAGGCCTCAGTGCAGGATTGGCTGAGTAGGGTTCATCCCCCTGCAACTCCCAGTGCCTTAAACACTTCAGAAATAATAATCTTAGCCAGAAATCCTGGTGCCTTGGCAAATGCCCCCTGGGAATCCTCACTGATACTCACTGGTCCATCCCAGTCACAGAGTGCTGGATGCTGAGGTTTCAGCTGTAAAGGGATGATGGTTACAGTGGAAAAGGAACATTCCCAAAGCACTTGCTGCCTGCAGGTTCCTGGGAGAAGCTGTGAAACAGCATATGAAAAACGAACTGTTTTGTAGCACTGACATTCCCCTTTCCCTGTAATTTTTCCCTCATTTAAGCAGAATTTCTATGGCACTGTGGAATTGTGTAACTGCTGGATTTGGCCCATCATCTATTGAGGAACTTTCTTACCTGTGACTGTGTTGGAGCTCCTTGAAACTTACAATATTCTGGAGCTTTTTATTAAATATAGACCACCTCATTTTGGGCTTGAAATAACCCGTTTCACAGTTCAAATGAGTGTTTCTATAGGGGAAACAACTCTCTTGCTGCCTTAATATTAAAAAAAGGGATGAAGAATAAAAGGGGTAAGAAAAAAACACGGATAATTAAATCTCCTTAATAATTAAAAAAGGGGGAAGGTAAAAAGGATAATGCCATTGGTTGGAATGAATATCCCAGGTTGACATAATAATTTCAAATACCAAATTTCAAAAAATTGCATCCTCACTACTGGAAGGAAAGTCCAGGCTGCTGTGTCGTGTCTTATCCATCCAAATTCAATCTGTGGGATGCTGGGTGAGTCCAGGCTCAGCACTGGAGCTGCCTCTGTGTGTGCATGGAATCCCTGGGAGTCTCTGGCTGCTTGGGAAGCTGGGGAGGGGTGGGTTTAGTCTCTGACTTTGCTGTGTCGTGGTTCTGGCTTTAATTAAAACTGGTTTTGCTTCCAGGTCCTCTGTGCTGTGGCAATAACAGTGCCTGGGATGTGGAATGGCCCCACTGCAGCATCCTTCCCCCAAGAGAGGGGCTCCTGGAGCAGCTGATCCTCATGGAAGTGTCACCCTGACCTCCCTGTCCCTGCTTTCATCCCTCCCCAGGGCCAATTGTTTGTGTCTGAATAGAATGAGCTGAAATCTCTGGCACTGGGAGCTCCCTGGCTGCTCATCCCACGAGGTGAGTGAGTCAGCTCTGCTCTGGGAAGGACAGAGCTGAGGATTAAATCTGAGAGGCAGAAAAACCCAGCACTGTGGAACCCAGGCCATGGGCTGCATTTTCCCCATACACTTCACACTGTGCATTTCTCAGATGGCTTTAATCAGGACAAATATCCAGGTATCCAAACTGAATGTGACACCCAAAAATTACAGTTTTCCGTGTTGCTGCTGTTGATCCTTCCCAGTTCAGATGTGATCAAAGCCCAGCCTTTAAAACTTCAGCTCTTGCTCAAAGTGGCTTTTTTTAGCTTCCATTTTTGGGCTGTGGGCTCGAAGAAGAAGGAGATAGGTGAGATGAGAGCACAGGCTCCAGCAAAGAGGAAGGAGCAGACGTAGGTCTGGGTGTAGTCATAGAGCCACCCTGCAGGAGAGAAGGTTGTTATTAAAGCAGTGGGATTTTTCTCAGTGAAAAAAAATCATTTGAGGAGGTGGGCGGGAGGCAAAGGACATGTGTTCTCATCTAAGAATTGCTCAGATATTTTCCTTAAATTATTTTAACTCTTCCTGGGCAGCATTTCCTGTAAGGAAATGACATGCATGTCATTTTCCCCAGAGCCAGCTTTGATCCTTGTAGTGGACATAGTGTTTAATTTGATTGAATTTAATCCCTGATTTTTTTTTTTTTCCTGTTTTAAGTAAGTGGTCCAAAAGTAGCTGATGGAAGATCCCGTTGGATTGAAGGAATGACTTGCACATGTTGGTATTTGCAACATCTGGGCTGCAAACCCTTCTCCAGCCCTGTCTCCTTGTGAGCAGACCCAGCTTAATGTCCTTTGTCCAATAGGAGAGACACCAGGCCAGGATCTGGAAGTGAACTTGATAAAAGTGGCTCTGGGAGGACTTAAAAGGAAAAGCTGAATTCCATCGAGCCACAGGAATGTCTGGAGGATTCAGGTCACCTTTTAAAGTGACCTCCAAGTGTTGGAGGGGTTTGGTCCTGGCAAATCATCTGGGCTCCGGGCAGTCCTTTGAAAGGTGGAGATTTCCTCTCTTTGAATCTGAAATCTGCAAAGTGGTGGGAGATGTTGCTGCACATAAAAACCCTAATCCAGTCCCAAATGTGGGTGTGGGGCAGCAGCTGAGCCAGATCTGCTGCTGGTGTGAAATGCAATTCCTCTGGAGACATCCATGGAATCCAGACATCCATGGGCTTCTCTGATTTACACCAGCAGCAGATCTGGCCCAAGCCTGGAGTTCTTAAACCCAGGAAGGGACATGACGCAGTCCCTGAGGTCCTGGGCTCAGGCACCTGGAAAGGGAGATCCAGTAAAATTTGGGATCTGTGCTGGAGCAGAGGCACTGACATTCCCCCACTGTAGATTTCCACAGGAAGGTTTTACAAAGCACAGGAAAAGCTGCTCGTGCCCAGTTCCAGTTTCTGTTGGCTCACTGCTGTCCCAGGGGATGTCCCTGTGTTTCCTCCTCAGGGATGTCCTGTGGGCCACGTGCTGGAGGAGCTGCAGCTGGAGAGGAGGATCCATCCCGTGGTGGGATCCCTCCCCTGGCTGGATCCATATCCTGGTGGAATCCCACCAGTGTTGGATCCATGCCGGGGTGGGATCCATCCCGTGGTGGGATCCATCCCGTGGTGGGATCCATCCCGTGGTGGGATCCATCCTGTGGTGCTGCACTGGGACACTCTCCCATGACCCTGAGGTTGTTTTGGAGTGGTTCATTCCCAGGGGTGGGATCTGGTTTCACTGCCTGGAAGTCTCTGGGATTTGGAGAGGGGATGCTGACGTAGTTATTTGTGAGAGGAACAGGACAGAGTGCTCCAGCTGAGCTCTGATTTATTGCAATTCTTCTTAAAATATCCTTCAGGATATTTATTTTTTTTTTTTTCATTTTCTCAAGGGCTTTTTGGTGCTGAATGGGATTTAGGTGCAGTGGGATTTACCGGCATTGCCTCATTGGCGGCACAGTCATCAACTTTCATCACACCCCAATCTTTTGGAGCAACTCCAGTCTCTGTGCTCCCAATTCATTTCCAAAACAATAATCACTCCTGCTGCAGAAAGCTGAACTAGGAGCTTGTGGTGTTCAAACCCCAGCAAAGCAGCAGTTCTGTGAGGAATGCTGGTAAATCCCAGCAATGTAATCCAAACTAAACATTCCCAGCACTGCTGATGCTACCAGCTGGGTCAGGCTGTTTAAATGGTACTGCTCATCTTTAATCAGAAGTTTTATTTATTCCTGACGCCCTGAGGAGCAAAATTCAGTGGGAAGATAAAGGTAAAATTTAGAGAACATCCAAATACTTGTGCCAGCAGAGCTTTTGGGTGACTTTGACCACCCTCTCCCCTTTGACCACCCAAATTTCTTGGGAGTGGAGATCGTGCTCCAGGGGCTGGAATCTCTTCTAGAATTTGTGTTTCATGCTTTGGTTCAGCTCTTTTGCATTTTGAGTCAGTGATTTGTACTGCTTGTGGAAATAAACTGTGCCCTTCTCTCCTCAGCTTGCTCGTGGCTGCCAAAATAATGTTTATTCTGGTTTGGGCTGGGTTTTTTCAGTGTGGCAGCATCCAGAGGTGCCAGTGGATGGGGAGCTCTGAAGGAGACTCCAAACTTTCCCTTCGGGTCCTGCCAGATGCCCCTGGATTTCAGGGCTTTCAGCTGAACAGCTTTGCAGGTAAGTCACCTTTTCCTTCCATTAGGGTTTGGTCTAATATGCAAATTAGGCAGTTTTAACCTCTGCAGTTCTCATTATCTGTTATCATTATTTCCACTGCATAAAAACACTTGAGTTTGATGAAATTGTAGTTCTAAACTCGAGGTTTTTGGGAGGTGAGAGCACCAGGGTCTCTCAGAGCACTTAAATCCTGCTGTCTGCAAGGAGCAGATGGTTTTGGACACTTCATCAGGAGATTTTGGTCTCACTCAGTTTTCACACTTAAAACTGCATTGCAAGAGAAAATTGCAGAATTATCTTGGGTCCCAAGGCTGGATCCTGAGCTCTGGATTGTTTCCATCTTGCTCTGTTGGATCAGGAGTTGGGAGTTGGATCAGGAGTTGTTTTGCTTCTTGGCTTTATTTGGCCTTTATTTATCCCATCTGCATTAAGCCTGATTTCTGTGGAAAGCTTTTTGCAGGAAACCTGCTTTCTTTACAGACCCACTGCAGAAAGCAAAAGGCTTCCCATTAGTGCAGATCTACTGCAAGTGGATGGGAATTGAACTGTGGTGTGAGTGTGGATAAGAGCCAGCCCAGGTGCTGAGCTGCTGCTGTGTGTTCCTGTGGCAGGGGGTTCAGGGCACTGAGGGGTTGCTGTGTGCTCAGTGTTCCCCTTGTGCCAGCAGCAGGGATCTGCAATCCAGGCTCTGCATCACCCTGGCACTGGGAAGCTCGTTATCAATTAAATGTTTTGGCTCCTTGAAATTGCATCTACAGAAAGAACATAACCAGCCCAGAGATACTGATTGGGCATATTTATTTTTTTTTTTCCCTGTGCTGGTGGAACAGCAGCATTGCTGAAAGTTTGCATGGACTGGAATTTACAGAATCCTTAGCAGCTTCCAGCCAGGCGCCTCTGCAGGCTGGGGGCAGCTGATTTGGGGGGCAGGGAACAAAAAATGATGATTTGGATTGGAAAGGACCCTAAAGCTGTTCCCATTCCATCCCCTGCCATGGGCAGGGACATCTCCCACTGTCCCAGGCTGCTCCAAGCCCTGTCCAGCCTGGCCTTGGACACTTCCAGGGATCCAGGGGCAGCCACAGCTACTCTGTGCACCCTGTGCCAGGGCCTACCCACCCTCACAGGGAGAATTCCTACCCAATATCCCATCCATCCCTGCCTTCTGGCAGTGGGAGCCATTCCCTGTGTCCTGTCCTTCCATCCCTTCTCCCCAGTCCCTCCCCAGCTCTCCTGCTGCCAGGGGCTCTGAGCTCTCCCTGGAGCCTTCTCCTCTCCAGGGGAGCACCCCCAGCTCTCCCAGCCTGGCTCCAGAGCACAGGGGCTCCAGCCCTGGCAGCATCTCCGTGGCTCCTCTGGCCTGGCTCCAGCAGCTCCACATCCTCCTGCTCTTGTTCCCCAGGCTGGGGCAGCTCTGCAGGTGGTGTCTCACCTGGGCAGGGCAGAATCCCCCCTCCCCTGCTGGGGACTCAGCCCAGGAGCAGTTGGCTTGCTGGGCTGCAGGAAAGCCAAAGCTTTGTCCTGGCCAAGCTGTTTGGAGGAGGACAAGTCCCCTGCTCCTTAGCAGAGGCTGGACACTCATTTCTAAGCACTTGAAATCTCCCAAATCCTCACAGCTGCCTTGCTTTCCTGGCAGAGGGAGAAGAGCAAATGCTTTTCATGCTCCTTATCTCTGGGCCCAGAGCTCTGGTGGCTGAGCTGTGTAATCTCTGTCAAAACAAGAGATTACTGAGGCTTCCCCTGATGTTTCAGTGCCTCTGCCTGGTGGGAATCTTGCTGAGTCTGTCCTTGGTTTCCCTTCCTCTCCTGGCTTCCCCTCCAGTCCAAGTTCAGTGTTATTTTATCACTACTGGGAGTAAAATCCATGGTAATGTGCTTGTTGTCCTGCTGTGGTCAGGGCTAAACTCTGCACATGGGGCTTCACTGCATTTTCCAGATATTCCAGGCAGCATTTCCAAACACTCCCAAGCAGCATTTTCTAAATACTCCAGGCAGCATTTTCCAAGCTGCTGGTTGGATTTTGCAAATTCCCAAGCAAAATGTTGCCTGTCTATAAAAATACATTTCTGAAATTGGATTTTTTTTCTCTCTGAACAGAAAACCCATCCTGGAATGGATCCCTGTAGGAGAGTGAACCAGCAGCATGATTTATCCCTGGGTTTCTGGGGTGGGTGTGTGTTTTATATAACATCACTTACCTGCTAAAGGGGGTCCTCCCATGGCTGCTATCCCTGCAAAGAAAGCAGCAAACCCCAGGTAGCTGTGGAGCTTTTCCACACCCACCAGATCCACCTGTTTGGAAACCAAAATGGATAATTAGTGAATGGCTTCATAGGAATGCATATGCACAACAGATTAATTGAATTTTTCTTTTTTTTTTTTTTTTTTTTTTTTTTTTAAGCACAGGAGATAATTTAATTCTTTTTTCTGGGGAATTTCCTCTTCAGCTGCAGCTTTGGGAGGACTTTGCCCCTGTAGGTCTGATCCAGCCTGGAACCCGTTTGCCTCCCTAAGGCAGGTATGGGAATTACTGGGATGGGAGATGCTTTTCTGTCTTCCACCTGCCCAGACTTTGAGGAAGGAGTTTTGAACTCTGAATGCCTGCCAGAAAGAAATGCCAAATTATAATGGTGCCTCCCTCCCTGGATCAGAGAATCCTAGAATCGTTTGGGTTGGAAGGGACCTCAAAGCCCATCCATTCCACACCTGCCATAGAGAGGGAACTTCCACTGTCCCAGGCTGCTCCAAGCCCTGTCCAGCCTGGCCTTGGACACTTCCAGGGATCCAGGGGCAGCCACAGTTTCTCTGTGCACCCTGTGCCAGGGCCTACCCACACTCACAGGGAGAATTCCTTCCCAATCTCCCACCCATCCCTGCCCTTTGGCAGTGGGAGCCATTCCCTGTGTCCTGTCCCTCCATCCCTTGTCCCCGGTCCCTCTCCAGCTCTCCTGGAGCCCCTTTGGGCACTGCAAAAAACTCTGAGGGGATCTCCTGGAACCCTTTTAGGCTCTGCAGGAGGCTCTGAGGGGATCTCCTGGATCTCCTTTAGGCTCTGGAAGGAGCTTTGAGAGGATCTCCTGGAACCCTTTTAGGCTCTACAAAAACTCTGAGGGGATCTCCTGGAATGCTTTTAAGCACTGCAAGGGGCTCTGAGGGGATCTCCTGGAACCCCTTTAGACTGCAAGAGGCTCTGAGGGGATCTCCTGGATCTCCTTTAGGTACCTAAAGGAGCCTGAGGGGATCTCCTGGATCCAACTTTTAAGCACTGCAAGGGGCTCTGAGGGGATCTCCTGGATCCCCTTTAGGCTCTGCAAAAAAGGGGATCTCCTGGAGCCCCTTTAGGCTCTGGAAGGAGCTCTGAGGGGATCTGGAACCCTTTTGGGCTCTGCAGGGAGCTCTGAGGGGATCTCCTGGATCTGCTTTAGGTACCTAAAGGAGCCTGAGGGGATCTCCTGGATCACTTTTAAGCACTGCAAGGAGCTCTGAGGGGATCTCCTGGAGCCCCTTTAGGCACTGCAAAAACCTGAGGGGATCTCCTTTAGGTACCTAAAGGAGCTCTGAGGGGATCTCCTGGATCCCCTTTAGGCTCTGCAAAAAAGGGGATCTCCTGAAGTCCCTTTAGGCTCTGGAAGGAGCTCTGAGAGGATCTCCTGGAATCCTTTAAGGTCTGCAAGGGGCTCTGAGGGGATCTGCAAGGAGCTCTGAGGGGCTCTCCTGGAGCCCCTTTAGGCTCTGGAAGGAGCTCTGAGGGGATCTGGAACCCTTTTGGGCTCTGCAGGGAGCTCTGAGGGGATCTGGAACCCTTTTAGGCTCTGGAAGGAGCTCTGAGAGGATCTCCTGGAATCCTTTAAGGTCTGCAAGGAGCTCTGAGGGGATCTCCTGGAGCCCCTTTAGGCTCTGGAAGGAGCTCTGAGGGGATCTGGAACCCTTTTGGGCGCTGCAGAGAGCTCTGAGGGGATCTCCTGGAGCCCCTTTAGGCTCCGAGCTCTCCCTGGATCCTTCCCCTTCCCCTTGCCCGGCATTCCCGGCTGTCCCCGGGGCTCCCCGTGGTGCCCAGCAGGATCCTGCCGCGGCTCTGCGTGTTCCCGTGGCTCCGGCGCGGGGCAGGACTCACCAGCACGGGCAGCACCAGGGCCATGAAGGCTCCAGAGAAGATGGCAAAGGCCACGGCGTAGGCGAGCAGCAGAGGGAAGGTGGTGGCCAGCGGCCCCAGCAGGTTGGTGACCCCGCTGAGGAGCAGGTAGGTGACATGGAGGTGGTACTTCTTGGTCCAGTTGTGGTCGGCCACCCAGCCCGAGAGCAGCTGGCTCAGCATCTCCGTGATGCCTGAGGGGACAGCAGCTCAGAGCCTCAGGGGGACTTGGCTTTGTGTAATACTCAAATTCTGATATTTCTAGGTAATTTTATATGTTATTATTTCACATAAATTTATTAGATAGTATAAATTATAAATTATTTGATATTATAAATTTATATATACTTTATAGTGGTTTATATTATTATTTTTTATTTGTAATATATGTATTATATTGATACTTACAGTATTTTATATTTTATATTCAATTTATTAGATAGTATAAATTATAAATTATTAGATAGAAATTTAGCTAACATTATAGTATTTTATATTATTTTATATTATTTGTAATATATGTATTATATTGATACAGTATTTTGTGTTTTATATTATTCAATTTATTAGATAGTATAAATTATTAGGTATTATAAATTTAGCTATACTTTATAGTATTTTATATAATTATTTGTAGGATATGTATTATATTGATACTGACAGTATTTTTTATTTTATATTATTCATATTGTTGCTATTATAGTTAATATTATATTATATTGTATTATATTGTATTATATTATATTAGTAATTACATTAATTATTATATTATTAATATGATTATATTATATTGTATTTGCAAATAATATAATATAATGTAATGTCATATAATGTAATGTAATGTAATATAATATAATATATACCCATTCTATTATAGTATATTTTAATATTATATTACTATATTATTTTCTATAATTAACTGTATTTCATATAGTGAAATTATACTTATCTTCACATTACTGTATTTATTATTTAGAATTTGCATATTTTTAATATTTTTATATTTTTACTGTACATTATAATATGATATTACATATTAGATATTCAAATAGTTATATTTTACAGTGTTTTATAATATTTATATTATTTTTATACATTATTTGTGTTACACTTGATTATTTATATTAACCCTAATATAATTTATTATTCTATTTATTGTTATATTAATTATTTGTATTATTCTATATTATTATATCCATTATTTTTATATATTTATTTATATAGTTTTAAATTATTATATTTATTATATTTATTAGTGATTTCTCTAAGATTACTTATTTCTATTATTCAGTATTATTTCTTTTATTGGCTGTGTCACATCCCAGTTTCCCTGTTCATTGTGAGGACATGACCACAAATGGCTAAAATGCCAAAAAGTTCCAGGTGTCTTTAGGCTGTTACAAAATCCAGGGATTGGGGTTTTTCCCTTTCCCGTTGTGCTGCTCTTCCCAAGGGCACCAAAATGCTCTGGGAACATTCCCTTCAGGGGGGAATTTCACCCTCCTGGGTGTCTGCACTCTGAAATGCCCTGAATCAGCAAAGAGGCACTTGCTGAAGAGAAAAAGTGGAATGTGAAGAAGAAAAATGCAGCTGAGATTTTAATTTTTCTAAAATTATTTCTATTTAAATTCTAAAATTTAATTTTTCTAAAAACCCAGGCGTTTTCTAGAAACCCAGACATTTTAGAGGCTCAGCAGCCTTTTAGTTGTTGGGGATTTGAGCTTTTGGGTTTTGAGGGTTGGAGTTTTGAGAGATTTTTTTACACTTCTTGGTACATTTTTATGAAGCAAAGATCAAGGAGCTCTGGAGTGAGCTCGTGTCCCACTGACCCCTGTGTCTCTCCCACTCCTAATTCCAAATATCCCATTAATTCCTGGGGATTTCTAACACCTCGACAACCCCTCACTGCTGAATATTCCCCAGCACTGCAGAAATAAAATGTATTTTTCTACAATAAACTATTTGCTGCTGACTGAGGCTGGAGCCACTTTTTTTATCCCAGCATGGCTTTTATGTTAATCCTGGTTTATAACCAGGTATGAGTTTGGGTTTTGGGGAGTGTGCCCTGTTTATTCCCCACTTGGAGGTGGATTTGCCAAATCCAAATGCCTGGATCCACATTCATGTCGGGAGTTTTCCCCCAATATTGAATTTCTCCCTTTTGGGTCAAACTGGAGGGTTTTGGCTGCACCTCTGGATTCTGGTGGCTTGTGGGTTTGAGCACAGCAGGGTTTGTGGTGGGCAGAGAGCACCTTGGAACTGGAGATTTGGGGTTGTTGGGAGCAGGGAGGGTATGGGATCGTCCAGCTGGCACCGGGAGAAGCACCCCAGTGGGGTAAGGACTCAACCTGTGCCAGGAGGATCCATCCCAGGACACATCTGGGGCCGTTTTTTGGCAGAATTTGGGGTGTTTCTCTGTGAGCTGTGGGGTGAAGGATCCCTTTGCCTACCAGCCACGGCGATCAGGTAGGAGCCGTCCCTGCTGCTCATGCCCAGCGTCCTGGCCCTCGCCACCAGGTGGAAGAAGGGCACGAAATAGGCCAAGTGGCTGAACAGGAAAGACCAGGTGAAAATGAAGAAAACGGGATCCTTCAGTGGGGAGAAGTCCAGGAGAGGCTGAGAAGGTTTCTTTTTGGAGGCTGTGAGGGGTTTGTGGCTTCCCTTGGCCTCGGTGGGAGTTTCTGAGGAGTTCTCCAGGGTGGGTTTCTGCAGCCTTCCCAAGGCAGGTGGATTTGCTGGGTCAGAGACATCTCTGCCATGGGGCACCACGAGTCTCTCTGTGGTGGGAGCCTCCTGTGCACAGAGAAGCTGTAATTCCCTGGGAGTGCTTCCATCTAAACATCCACCAGGAGTTTCTGGATCTTTCTTTGCCACTGAAGAGCCCCGATGTTGATTTTTGGCAGATTCCCGAGGTGGTTGGGGGCTGACAGGCCACAGCAACATGCTGGAAGGCACCAGGTTCAGCATGATGCCTCCAAAAATCAGCAGAGTACCTGAGGGAAGGCAAAAGGTGGTTTGTTCGTGATTGGAAAGGGAGGAGCAGCAGGAAATGGCCTTTGTGGAACAAGGTGTGGTTTTCACTGACCGTGGAGAAAGTTCTGCCATGAGAAGGGAGTTTGCCGTCTCCTTATGGAGGAGTTGACAAAACAGGGATTTTTATTCCTGTTTCTCTAGCTGGAAGTTCATTTTTCTGTGATGCACAGAACAAATCCACAGATACCTCTGGGATCTGTTTTGCTTTTCCTCATTTAAAGTCATGATGGACCTTCAAGATGGTCTTTAATCACTACAGTAAAACTGGGGATTTCTCATTTTGATTTCTGAGATCTGTGCTTTGACTCTGATTTTAATGAGTGATTAAATTTAGCCTCATTATTAACAAGATGTCCCCATACTATCCTAGAAGAGGCAGAGTTACTCCTCGGTGTGCTGAATTTTTAAGAAGAGCCTCATAGAGCCTCCAGATCTCCCCAGATTCCCTCTCAGAGCCGATGGATTGGAAGGAACAGGAGAAGCCTCACCTTGCCAGCCGTAGGCCTCGATGAGGAGCTGAGTGAAGGGAGCCATCAGGAAGGTCAGCCCCATCCCAGAGCGGGCCAGGGCGTTGCAGAAGGCCAGGCGAGCCCGGCAGCGCTTGGCCGTCATCACCGCGGCCGCCTGGTACAGGCAGGCAAACCCCATCCCTGTGGGGAGGGAAAACGGGAATAAGAGGCTCCCACCACAGAGAGACTCCATCAGGAAAACCCCATCCCTGTGGGGAGGGAAAACGGGAATAAGAGGCTCCCACCACAGAGAGACTCCATCAGGAAAACCCCACTGTGGCAAGCACATTTCTCTCCCTCTTAGGATTTTTTATAGAGGTGCACAGAGAGAAATGAAAGAGAAAATAATTTCTATTTCTGCTCCTTGTTTTTCTTATGTGGGATGTGTTTGGAGAATTATTTACCTGGAGTGAGTGCTTGATTAGATTCTAGTGAGGATTGTTTGAGCCTGATGGCCAATCCAACCCACCTGGGGCTGGACTCTCACAAGAGGGTCATGAGTTGGGAGAGACTTAGAGTCAGAACAAGTATAGTTTTAGTATTCTCTTTTTATATAATATATTAATGTATTTTAACATAGTTATAATAAAGAAATAATTCAGCCTTCTGAATTAAGTCAGACATCGTCATTTCTTCCCATTGGGTTCACCTACATTTACAATACCCCGTCCCTTTGGGAAGAGGAAAAATGGGAATAAGAGGCTCCCACCCCAGAGAGACTTGTGGTGCCCCATGGCAGAGATGTCTCTGACCCAGCAAATCCACCTGCCTTGGGAAGGCTGCAGAAACCCACCCCAGAGAGCTCCTCAGAAACCCCCACCGAGGCCAAGGGAAGCCACAAACCCCTTGCAGTCCCAGAAAGGGGTTCTTGTGTAGGGATTCCATGTTCTGCTATCCCAAGCTGGCAGTCCCTGGCTCTGCAGCATTCCCAGGTTGAAAGGAGAGGATTTCTGCTCTTACAGTCAGGGGAGAGCCAGATTTGGTGGGTGGGGTTTGGTGTGTGGGGGATTGGAGGCTCTGCCCTTTTATAAGGGATTTTAAAAGGTCAGGATCCGTGTAGGTCCATGAAAAAAAAAAATCAAGGTTAGTTGGGACTGGAATGTCGAAACTGGTGTTTTATTCTGAGCATGAAGCTTTGGGAGTTCACACAGTGTCTCACAGAAAGGAGCTGGGGATGCTTTGGCACTGAAGGGTCACAGAAGCACAGAATGTCCCGAGTGGGAAGGACCCACCAGGATCATCCAGTCCAATCCCACAGACACCCCAATAATCCCACTCTGTCCCTGAGAGCATTGTCCAACCTCTCCTGGAGCTCTGGCAGCCTCAGGGCTGTGCCCATTCCCTGGGAGCCTGGGCAGTGCCAGCACCTCTGGGGAAGAGCCTTTCCCTGATACCCATCCCAAATCCAACACAGCTCCTTCCTTGGGTCCTGTCCCTGATCACCTCAGGCTCCTTCTCCAGCTGAACAAACCCTTGGCTGCTCCCCCTGCAGACCTTCCCCAAGGCCGAAGGAGCTGATTTCCTGCTCCTGCCCGTCTCACCCAGCAGGAATCCCATGGAGAAGCAGAGGAAGGGGACACTGGTGGCCTGAGTGCTGAGCAGGCAGCCCCCGGCCACCAGCCCCGCGCCGAGGATGGAGGCTGGCCGCTCCCCCAGGCGCCGGCACACCACGGACACCAGCGGGGCTGCAAGGAAAACGGGGACACCGTCAGCCTGAGGGGTCAGAGGCTGCTTTGGCACGGCCTGGGGACCTGGTGGGACCACTGGGAAGCCTCGGCAGGCAGGGGGTGACGGGGGTGTGAGAGGGGTTAATGTTCAGGAGAGAGGCTTTGCCTGTACCCTGGGAGCTCGGGGAGCGGGGCAGGGAAGGAGACAGAGCCCAAAGGTTCAGCTCTCCTGAGCCTCTTCCTCAATCACACCATGGCCAGCAGCTCCAAATATTCCACAGCTGGGACCAGAGTGTTGTTTGCTCTGGAGCTGTGCAAAAATCTACAGCAAAGTTCAGGGATCCCAGAAGGGTCTGGGTTGGAAGAAACTTTAAAGCTCATCCAGTCCCACCCCTGCCAAGGTCAGGGACATTTTCCACTGTCCCAGGTTGCTCCAAGCCCCATCTAACCTGGCCTTGGGCACTTCCAGGGATCCAGGGGCAGCCACAGCTGCTCTGGGCACCCTGTGCCAGGGCCTGCCCACCCTTACAGGAAAGGATTTCTTCCCAATTTCCAACTTCCTCCCCCTGTCCCATCTGAATGGCCCAGTATTTGGAACACATTTATTCCTGCTCAGGCACGTGTGAGTGCCAGCCACGTCCAGTTTGGAGCAGTCTGGGGTGGGAATTGGATGCACAGAGCCCCCTCAGTGCCCCCAGGTCAGACAGAGGCTGCAGCAGAGCCCCAAGCCCTGGGACAGCAGCTCACCTCCGAGGAAGCGCAGGGAGGACATGATGGAGCCGATCCAGCTGACCTGCTCCGAAGATCCCCCCATCTCCTCTCGGAAAGCCACGAAGAAAATCCCAAAGGTCTTCAGCATCCCCATCACGAGCACATTGACCTGAGTTGAGAGGGGGTGGAGGTGAGGTGCCACAGGGCATTGGGAAGGGAGGAAAAGCTTTTCCTTCTGCTTCTTTTGTGGTGGTGTGGGAGAAACAAACCAGGACACTTGAACGTGGTGTTGGGGAATGCCAGCAGGGTGGGCTGGTCGTGGCCATGCTGCAGACCCTCAGAAAACCCTCTGCAAACTGATTTTCCAAAGGAAAGGAACAAAATAACCCTAGAGCTCAGCTCTTGTAGGATGCTTTTACCTTTGAAGTTACTTTTTTGTACTGCAGCAATAGTCAAAATTGATCCGGTTGGAGATCACGGAGAGGTGATGAGGGCATGAGGGCAGCAGGGATGAATGTTAACTGGGGCAGTTTCCCAGGATTTCTCTATCTCAGGGGCAAAGGACAGACAGTTTGTGTCCTGAATTTTAACTCCTGTTGTCTCCCTGGGGCAGGTGGTTAATGATTGGCAGCGAGTTACTCGGGATGGATTTGAAGGGAGGAAAACTTTCCTAGCTTGGGGGATGGTGCCTTCTTTCCAGTTGGACTCAGTGACTTTAAAGGTCTTCTCCAAGCTTCCCAATTCCTTGATTCATCACTGAATGGGGTGGGAAGATAAAGCCTAGAGCACAGGGAATTCGTGGCTGTAAGTGGTGTTGAGGTGCCAGGTCCTCCCAGAGAGTACCTGAGAGTTGACGTTTCTCCCCTCTCAGCCCCTGAATTAACAGGCTAGCCCAGAGATACGAGGCCTTGAGGAGAGGAATATCAGGAGATGGGCACAGATTTCCAAAAGAGGCTCTTACCCCAATGTGGTTTTCCAGCTCTTTATTGTGTGATGTCCAGGGGAAAGAGCGGGGTAGAAGAGAATGAACAGGAAGGGTCAGGGGTTTATCG